GATGGATGGATTTCTGTTTTCTTATGCTTCACTAAATCAGCTGATTGGCCAATACTCAATGTGTAACTGATCAGGTGGTGACTAAAGAAGGAGCCATCACAGCCAAAGCAGGAAATGTTTTAAATGATTTTATCAGGAATCTGTTGACAACATAACAACACCAACAGTCTAAAAATGTTTTAATATCACACCTAATAACCTGCCATGCTGGTAATCGATCAATCATCTGATGGTTGTTTTACAAATCTGAAATAAGTTAACAGAAAACAAGGACAGCAAAGAAATCATTCAGAAGCTGCAACAAATTCTTATTTTCATGGTATAATGTTGATGCTTTTGTGTATAGCATTGTCTCATTCTGTTGTATTTTATAATATTAGACTCTTGTATTCCACTGAGCATGCTTTGCTGATGAAAGAAATCTACTGTCAGCAGATGAGAAGCCACGCTGCACAGGGAGATTAATCATGCATCTATAAAATAATGTTTAGTCTCAATTTTAGAAGAAAAGAAAAGAAAAGAAAAGAAAAGAAAATAGAATTTTGCTTTTATCATTCTGAGTTTTGTCTAATAAATTAATGTTCAACCAACAAATTATATTGAGTTACAAGAATTATCTTTTCCTCTTCAATCAAAAGGTATTTTTCATGATAATTTACTGAATCGTTGATTGCATAGAAAAAAGTTTTTAGGTCAATTACTCACAAAAAATAAGTTGTTCCAACTTGTTGTTTTGTGTTATTTAAAAAGGTTTTTTATGCACTTAATTAGCATAATGAAGACGGCAAATTTAAGATAAATTAGGTGTTTATAACTAGATGGGGGAGTAGATTGAACTCAAGGAAAAGAAATATAAGTCAATTTAATTAAGAAATTACAACTTAGTTGAGTTTTAAATCAGCTGTCATAGAAATCAGAGTTTAAAATTCAGACAACATCAAGTTGATGTTCATGATTATGTCGACGCAGCCGTTCAGAATAATGGTTATAACTTCAAACATTTTTCTGTTCAGCTAATTTAATTCTTTTTGGAGCGTGCCGCCCAAACAATGTCCCACCTGGAGGTGTCCTGACTGAGCCACATCTTTCATTTGATTATTTAGTTTTCTAATTATATTTCAGGGATGTCAGGCTTTTTTCAGCTTTCAATAAATAAATAAACTCCCAGTGAATCAGTAAATCTGCTGATTTGCATAGTTTAAGCAAAACATCTTATTTCATCAAGTAATCTCATTCTCTCTCTTTTTCAATTACAAGTGTCATAAAGAACATGGGAAAAATACAGTTTTTAAAAATTCAAGGAGTGTGAAGAGGTCTCGTTTGAGGGCGGTTTGCAGGTCGTTCTATTTAAAAGATGAAACCAGCTCAGTTTGTGAGCACTAAAGGAAGATGGTTTAATCAGCCGCTGGATCAAAGTCTAGAAGATTTAAATGAGCTAGTTTGGAAATGGTAGACTTTTAAATGTTTGAAATGTCAGACAACTCTTAAAAGAAATGTTCAAGACAACTTCTAATGTTGATTGATTTCAGCTTGCAGTGATATAAAACACAAATAAATTACAATTCTCATTTATTTTTCTCATTTACTTCTACTGATGATTCATCAGCTCTCAAATTTGTTGCCTATTCATTTTCTGTCAATTAACTATTCAATAATAAACTTCTATGTTCAATAACTAAAACAGCACAAACAGGACCTTTCAGTTTACATGAATCTAGAATAAAAATGACAGTTTTAAATGTTATTCGATACATGAAACACATAATTGACTCTTACTTGTATGCTCTTGATTCCAGCCCTGCAGTAGTACTTCTTGATGTCCACGTCAATCTCTGTATTCCCAACGAAACTGAAGAGAAACGCAATAAAACAGTGGATTACCATGACAGCAAGAGAAGAAAGAAGAGAACACATGAATACACACCTCACATTCATCACAATCAGACAACAGCAGAAGCACTTTTAAAGAAATCCTACGATGTGTTTATGTCCGTTTGTAATGTTGAGCTTCGACTAAAGCGGAACCTGTCGGCCAATTTAATACATAAAGAGTTGTAAAAAAGTTGGGGACTATTTTCAGTGGTGGATTAATCCACACTTGGCGCTCTGGTGAGCATTTCTGGCAGGATTTTACAGATGGATATCATGGGACAAATATTTCTCCATTCAGGTGTAAATTTTAGCTTTTGTGTTGGATGTTTGATACAAATCACATTTTTCTGCCAGAATCAGCAGAATAATCAAAGGTGGAGACGCTTTTCTGCATTTAAAGCAAGTCCTGGATGAATAAATAATAATTGGAAAGCATTAAACGCAATGAAAAAGGAAATGAAATCCCTGTGTGAGAGTTTATGAATGTTTACCTGATCTGCAGGTCCATGATGACCTGCCTCTTGTCCACGTTTTCTGTGTAAACTTTCACTCCGTTCACTCTCAGCGGCTGCAGAAACACACACACAGGACACAACAGGTGAAGGTGACGAGGAGGTAAAAGTATTTATCTGGTCGACGTTCTTTCAAATGACTACATTCTCATTGTTCAGACGATCTCCAGTGTTGCTTTAATAAGGAGGAAAGAGCAACAACATTCCAGGATTACTCCATTATTTTTATATATATATAAAATCAAAAACATATATATAATTTAAAAAATAATATATACATACATAATCAAAATACACACACGTATGTATGTATGTATAAAGCCAAAATTTCACAAATATCTTTATAAATACTTTATAAGAACTTCAGGCAAACCAGAGATGGTGGAGCAGAATTAAAAGCAGAACATTGATGTGATACACAATGACCTGTTTTAAATGTTTGTCAGCATGACAACATGTGGGAAGGATTCCAAACGGCTTTTCATGAGCTCTTTTTAAAAAAAATAAGTTCTTTGCAGGTATATCTGATTGTTTTCATCCAACAATGCATCTCACAGAAATGTTTTTTTCCTGCATCATGCCTCCCGAACTGACACTGTGTGGCTGCAATTTGTTGACTTGTTTTTAGAAATGATATGAAAATGTGCATCCTGTTCTTATCATTTCAGTGCAAAACAACAAGGTTAGAACGACTTAAAATGCTGCAAACACAAGCTTTTCATGTTTCTTTCTAATTCATTTAGGCTATTAATGCTAGCAGGTAGCTGACTTTTTTCATCTCTAGATAACATACATATTAACCAGCCCGGCTAAAACGTTCATATCTGCTGTTTTTAATAAGCCACATATAATTCCAACTCGTGAGCTGAGTACGTTGTTGAAGTTCGAAGAGAAAGAAACCTTCTTGGCAGCTAAAGAGGAGGAAAACTTTTCAGCTCTGATTAAAAAACTGCTTTCGTTCTCCCGCAAATAGTATTTTGAATTTGAGAGATGAGTTTGTGCGAGTGGTCAGAGTTCAACAGCAACAAAGCAGACGAGAATAGAAAGATGTGAACGCCTCCACTCTGTTAGAGCCTCAGAGCAGCTAAAGGTCCACAACAGTCATTTGTTCCATGTTCGAGCACAAACAACCAAGATTTTTCCATTTATCCTTAACATGTATTTTATATTTTGACCAGGCAGCTGCACAAAAAAGCTATTCAACGCAGCATTAATTTGGTGTCTGTGTGATCCTCTGGTGCACATCTGAGTAACAAAGAGTGAATGCATCATCCTGCTGTTATCTGGTCACCTTGTCGCCCATGTCGATCTTGGTGAAGCAGAAGGAGCTGAGATGAGGGTTGGCGCCCTTCACCGCCGGCTCGATGGTCTCTCTGAACAGCTTGTCCACGAACTGGCAGATGAATGGCCACATCTGCTTCACCGTCTGAAGGCGGAGACAGAAAGAGAAGGCAGAAAGATGAAGCAGGAGGAAGAATCTGACAGATAAACCTCTGAAGGTCTGAAGTTTCTGCAGCTTGACACATCATTGGAACATCTGCAGACCTCGTGGTTTACAAACTACTGGTTTGGTTCAACTGAGACACAGTGCAGAGATCAGTGTTTTGTATTTGCATTGAATAATAAATGTACTTGAATGTATTGGGGGGGGATACACTGATCATTATACATGCATATTTTTAGGACTGGAACTTGCTATTGATTAATTTTTAGTTGTTTAGTGTATTTGTGATATCTACTGTCGCCTCCTTTGCACACTTTTTCACCTTTAATTGATTTAATTCCTTTGAAATTAATCTCCAGTCTTTGATTTAACATCTTAAAATTCATTTCTGTACATCAAAGTTACATATTCAGTAGTAGGACATGTTTTTCTTTCATGACTCATCTTCCAGCACGTAAAGAAAACCATACGGAGAAGATAAAAAGGTGATTTTCATCTTTTCATATGCTCTGTAACTGTACAAACATATATTTATCGGTACAGTTGAGGAGTAATAGCAGGTACAACACCATTTGAAATAGCTTTATGTAATCTGAATACTTAACATATTGATGGGCTTTGCTTTGTTTGCATCAACCACTTGCTGTCTACAATTATTAGGCATTAGAGGTACAATGGAATAATTATTTTCTCTTCTGTGTCACGTATTGTTGCAGAATGTTAATATTCATAGTGTGCAGCACACAATGTGTTCCTTCAATAAAATAAATCACACCACAGGTAAACAAGACATTAAAGTAAGTCTTCAGCAGTGCATTTTACACCTCTGTCCAAATCCTTTGCCCACATGGACACATCAGCAGCATCGAAACATCTGGATATGTGGACAGAACAACCCTAGAACTCATCTGTTCTACTGCTGAGAACAAACTTGTTTACATTCTTAGCAAAGAGAGAAAAGAGGGAAAAGCTTTTTATTGAACTCAGAAAAACATCCGAATATTTTGAGTTCTGAGGTGACTCAAAACTCAAAAGCGACATCAGGAAAATAATCAGAGCTGCCACTGATTAATTTACTGTCACGTAGCAAAACAAATTATTTCAGCATTCAGACATGTTCATATCAGGACGAGGGATGTCTTAAAAGACGAACGGTTCATCCATGATGGAACAAATATACACGAACCTTCTGAACACCAAGCAGTTTCTTTTTTAGCTCCTGTCACATTTTTATTCACACTGTGGCTTATTTTTCACTGGAATATAAAATCCTGCACCTCTATGGAAACAGCACAAGCATGAAAACAAGGAGAGAGGACTCACAAATGTCTTGTGCATCAAAGTTATATTGCCACGAATCATTGAAATAATAATAAAAATAATAATAATTTGAAAGTTGATTTTCTTTGATTATTTATCTCATAAAGCTGAAAGAAAAACTGGAATCAACATGTTTGACATTTTTCAGAGGTGACAGAGGAAACAATAGTGACTCCACATACGATAGATATTATTCTTTTTACTTCTCATTTGTCTCCTCTCTGTAAAAACTACCTGCAGATCAGCCAAAATCAAGTCCCAGCATTTTTGCCACTTGACCGTCGGTCACAGCTGAGTGCTTAATGGCATTACAGTTGTGCTGAGGAACACAGGATTTTTAGTTTTTTACTCAATATGATTTCTGCAAACGCTTTATTTTTTGGCAAATGTTTAAATGAGACATTTCAAAAAACATGATTTTGACAAAATATCACAATTTTAAGCTCAGATTTGGTTAAATTTCCTGACAGAATAGCACAAGATTGTTCAAGGACAATCTGAAAGTTGAAAATCTGACAATTATTTCTGTTTTTTTACACCTTTTGGCTGTGATTAATGGTGTTATTTTTAAAGGATAACATGCCAGCCGATGGGTCTTGTGGTTCAGATGATTATTTATTTCATTACTATTAATATCAAAAAGCTCAAACATTTTTCAAAAAATATTTTCTAAAGGCATACAGACTTTAATGGTACTGGATATGTAATCTGTATTATTAATTATGGATCATAAACGTAGAGGAGCACTAATAAAACATGCAATGATTCAAATATTTTAAAGTAAATTCGAACGCTTCAGATATTTCTTAATTTACTTTATCAAGCCATCAGAAAAAAAGCCTTGTGATTGTGCTCCATCTTCAGTCTTCAAACATCAAGTCATCGACGACATTGATCACCAACTATTGCAATGCTTTACAGGAGCATTAATCCTTTTTATCGGCCCCAGTGGATCAGACTCTCTGCATCCGTAAACAACCCCAACAGACAAATACAATCTGACTGCAAACGTGAGCATCAGGGAGCCAGGTTTGGACATTAAAAAGCTATTTTCCTGCTCATCCATTAACTTTTTACTGGTAGTAGCTCTGAACATTTACAGTAAGTGGGCCTGTCTCTCTCTGGCTCTCTTCATATATCCCTCCATCGCTTTCGCTTCACCTCCATCTTTCTCTTTTCTCTCCCCAGGGAGCTGAAGCACTAGGTCAGGGTCTCTGAGAGCTCCACATTCACATCCTATTTATAAACTCTACCTGTCAGCCTCTGTCGGCTGACATACTGCTGGAGAAAGATGCAGAGCGGTGGGCGAGTGGGTGAATCAGATAAAGTCAGTGTTTGTACCTTATTCAGCCACTCCACTCTCTCCACATCTGGATAATGGACCTGGAATGAAACACAGGAAGGCACGAGTTAGAATCATGATTTACATTTATACAAACAGAGCTTTAATGTTCAGTCAGCTCAGTGTCCACTCCAACGTTTCTGTCCTTATTTCAGCACATTTGCTGTCAAATCACAAACACTGAAATCTCGAGGCGCTAACGGTGCTAACCACTGAGACACCTGCAGCCCAAGCCCCAGCATGTTAAAAAAAACATTTTTACATGTTCAGAGATAAACAGTAAGGAGGTGAAAAGGTAGAGCTGCAGTTGGCAGAAAAAGTATGACAAAAAATATTTTTCTGTTTCTGTTCCAAAATCAGGAAACGCACCATTTCTTTATTTGCTCGTTCATAAGCTACAGCACATTTAAACCAGAATTAATACAGTTTAAATTAAAATAATGCAATAAATCCTCCCTTAATGAAGGTTACCATGTTCTGTTCTGCTCTTGTCACATTGTTATTCACTGAGGGCTCATTTTTCACTACAATATAAAGTCCTGCATCTCTATGAACAAGCCTTGCTAGAAATACAAAGCAGGCTGTGTGATGGAACACATTTACTCTGATTTAAGCGTTCTGGGAGACACCGGGCTGTTTGCTTTTTGTAAGGTTCATTTAAAAGACAGTGAGTTTGTATGTTTGTTTTTTTAAGCTATTTTCTGCCTTTTTAAAAAATTTTTATAGACAGGACAGTCGAGAGAGAGACAGACAGGAAAGTGGGGGAGATGAATGAGCGAAGGACTTGCAGAAAAGGGCCATGAGCGGGACTCGAACCCATGACCACTGCATCGAGGACTATAGCCCCTGCACATGGATCGCCAGCTCAACTAGATGAACTATCGCAGCGCCCAAAAGAAAGGGAGTTTGCTGACGTGCAACCTCCACATGTGCACAACAGAAACACTGAAAACAATCACTTGTGTAGAAATAGTTCAGCTACAAAACAAACAACAACAACAGCAGCACTCTCATCAGCTTCTTGTAACTGATGCTGACTAATTTGTTTGACCATTTAAATCAGCACCAAAGTATCTATATGAGTGCAAAGCCAGATCACAAAAAGCAACAAAACAAAACAAAACAAAACAAAATTATTTTGTATGACTTTGTTAAACCAGATCCAAACTGCTTTCTGTATTTTCTTTGCAGCTACAAAATCAATCTTGAATGACTGTATTTTTTCACATTGTGAAATCTAATGCAACCTAATACAACAACTCTGCTATGAATTCTACTTCAATCAAACTTCTGTTCACATTTCTTGACGTTGCCATAAAGCTGATAATTCTTCTTTACTGTTGTAATTAAGGTGAGAGTACATGGTGCACTGTACTGCTTTATATCGTATTCCTAATATGTTGTCCACCACACTCACATAAATGAGCAGGGCTTTTTATTACTAACACTACTGCAGTATAGCAAAATACCACTACGACCTCAGCAGCAAACATTAAGCAGAATTATCACCTTTTTGACAAAGAAAACTGAAAACGTAGATGCTTTGCAGCATTAGAATCGATGGTGGAGCTGTTGTGTTGGACTGTGTTAGAGTTCAGAGGTGTGTGCAATGAAGCAGCCGGTGGGTGTGCAGATACCGCAAAACTAAATAAAATGTCATTTTTTTCCAATATGATGCAGCTGTGACACCATATCAGTTGAGCATCACTAGCTGCTGTTGGTCACCTTGTTTTGTCAGTCCAGCTACCTCCAGCTTTCATCTCTTTTTGGAGACAGAATTAAAGAGGCGATCTTGACCAAACATAACGGAGCCGATGGTGCAGCAGCTCATCTTGAGCTCGCCGCTGTTGCTGAACGCGCTGCAGGATTCTGCCGAAACACTGTCACGCTGATGCACTTGAGCGAGTGCTGCTGGACGGTGCGTTTAAATACAGGCGAAGGTCAGGAGGACCAGGAAGGCTTTCAGTTTGATGTACATGCACAAAGACAGAGATTGTACCAGCGTGTGCTTCCTCATTTCAGTGTTTTGCATTCGTTGAGATTTAAATGTCCAAAGATCAAAGTCCTTCCCACTGTAATAATAAAAATAACTGATATTATTGCAGAACTCAAGGACTAAGCATCACGTTTTACTCCTCTAAATAAATATTTTAAAGTGACGTTTTAAGAGTCTGCTTCTATGAAAATTGGTAAATTTCATAAAAGGTTTATGGATATGCTTTGTTTAACATCTTTAATGCTCAGATAGAGTAAATAAAATAGGGTGAAACCTGCAATCATGTTCAAAATGGGTGTTTAATTTAAGAAACAACACCATGGAATGACTTAATCTGGTGTTTGAACTAGATTTACTGAAAATGGTATCTACGGCGCAACAATACAGCAGGAAAACAGGGCTTCATTTGTTATCATCATTAGTTTAGTCACACTAAATTGTTTATTGTAACTGAACAACTGAACAAAACTGACATGCAAAATTGATGTGGTCAAAGAAATTACACACTTTAACAGTCACAGAAATTTAAGGGCTGAAAAAAACCCTTAAAAAACAGCAGGTGACTTTATGTAGAGCTGCAATGAGTTTTTATTTTTATTGCTGATTAATATATTACAGGAAAGTCATTCAAAATTCAAAAAGACGATGCATTAAGGTTGCTTCTTCCATTGAACCAACCTCAAAAAATATTCAGATTTGACCAAGAAAATCTGTAAATCATGGTATGAAAAAAGATTTTAAATAGTGTTTGGATGATGAAAATGTGAGCATTCAACCTGTTTTTACAGTTATAGTTTGTCAGTGACAAAGAAAGAAAGAAAGAACCTCCGAATGTGATTGAGAGGGTTCATGTGCATCAAGGTCGTATAATTCCTATATTCTTATTTATTTAATGTGCGTAAATGTTCTAATTTCTGTTTTTTCATGAAAGTGTTGATAGTAAAGCTGTGCACCTTGATTCATCGGCTACTTCACATTGGAAATGGTGATTTTCTTTTCTTTTTTTGAACCACATCACCTTCCAGTGAGTTACCTTTTCAGTGTTACTCAACTGTCACACATCTTCCAAGACCTCTGCTGAGTAATTCAAACGTCAACCCCAAAATCAGAAATCGATCACTGAACATCAGCATCCTGGTCAGGACATGAGGGGAAGTGGAGCACAGCGGCAAAGACTAACATAAATAACCATCACCGTATCTTGCTGAGTGTAGAGGACGGAAAAGTCACACAGGCCCTGGACTGCAGCCAAACATGTAAATGAAACACAAATCGTTGGCTGTGCACGGCGACGGCGTGCGTCTGCAGGTTTTAGGTTGAGTTAAAGGCGAAGCTGCAGCAGACGTGGCTGCGATACGCCTCAGCTGCATTCTTCAGAAGGTCCCGACGGCAAAAGCATTTGTCAAATAAACTGTCTGAAACCTGACGGATGTAAAAACAAAACAGTGGAGGTGAAAGAATGATTCATGTGGCCGATAAAAGAGGCAGCGACAACTTTCTCCCACTTCAGGGTGAACAACAGAAAGCAACGACAACACAGGATACAGATGAGAGGAGTGACAGAGGTGCAGCTAGAACAGCAAACAACGCTCACTCACATGAAGCAAACAGGATATTACACTTAGGTTTAGGTCGGGTACGAACAAACAAGGCAACGTGAGTCAGCGTTGGAGACAAAAATACGGACAAAACTCAAAAATACTGAGCAGAGGAGGAACCAAATGTGTGACGGGGTAAAAGAGAAATATGAAAAAAAAACAGAAGGAAGACTGAGATTAGAGCGCAGCAGGATCCTACATCAGAAAACAGACACGTGAGAGTGAACGAGAAGAATAAAACAAAATAAATGTACGTAATTTTATTGTGTTGACTAAATAAAGCTGAGAGTGACAAAGCAAGGAAACTGATCCCTCAATAAACTGAAAACATTTCTCTCCGTGGAGGAACAATTGAGATTTGAAAGGAAAACAGTTATTCAGCTCTTAAAGCTTGTGCACAGTTCAGTTTCACTCGCAGATTTTCAAAAAAATCCCTCAAGAAACAAAGTTTGAATGAACTGCCTCCTAATCGTGGTGGGGAGTTCGTGCGCCCTTTTTTAAAATGATTTTTTAAATAATTGGGCGTTGAAAAATGAAAAAACAAACAAAAAACTACATTTTCAACAAAGCATTTGGTTTGTTTTCTTCTTGCATTGAAGACAAGTGTGGGTGAGAAATCTTTTTCTGGCTGGATGAGAGCTTCATATGTGTTTACTCCAGAATCAGCCACATGCTGCAGTGCAGCCATTCAAGCAGTTTTGTCAGACGAGTACAGACACCAATAAAATGGATTTAATAACTGCAACTGAAAAACACCCATCACACCTTTCTACAGCCCTTTCTTGCATCATTTTATGTATTGTTTGGTCCAAGAAACACAGAGTTTTGGGCATTTTTGCATTTAAACTGCTATATCTTAGCTAAACATTTGCTTGTCAAAGTAGTCAAAATCTATTTTCTGTCCATCATTGCAGCTCTAAATCAATTGTCAGTTGTTTGTAGTCATGAGAAAGGTTCATAATGTGCAGACATAAGTTTAATGGCCACAATCAGAGCAAAATGAGCACTGTGTCAGAAAATGCAGCCTCCTCATGCATTCCAATGATTCCACTGCACGTCTGACAACAAAAAGAAAAGCAATTGTACCATTTAGCTTCCAGTTATTGAGATTAGCACCACCTTATCTATCCTGACTCATAAAATCCAGTCTGACAAGATCATAAACTGCTATGCAGTGTCTGCAAGGTGCATAATATCCCTGCAAACTTATGCATGTGTTACACAAACAGGCCTTTGTGGATTGTGTTCCATCTGCCTGCAGCAACACACTGACACAGACTTGTGCATATTTCAGTACGCAGCACTGTTTTGCTGTTTCTGAGCCCTTCCGAGCTCAGAAACAGCAAACGGATCAGACCTGCGGCAAAGACAGGGCTCTCGTAGGGCCTCTTACATTGCATGAGTCACTGAAAAGCTGTTAGAGAAACCGGCCTGTGATGAGCAGGGG